CCTGATGCATTCCTTGCCTCCTTGATAGATGAGATAACCAATGGTCTTCCAATATGGTTCCAGGTGCTTTTAGAAATCAGGGTTATATCTGATGCCGTATCGAACTGCAATCGCGTTGATTTACCATTGATGAGCAGAGTAATGTATTTTCGCCGCCCTTGGAGATCTGCTTGGAAAGCCGCTACGACTGAACGGGACTCTGGGTATGTCTTTTTGAATCCCGTTCGAACCGATTTTTTTCGACTGACGTTCGAAGGCCTGTTCAATGTACAACATTCTTCCTTGTGACCCCGCCTGTTGCATTTCTGACAGAGATGTTTCTTGAAAGGACAGAAACGAACAAAGTGCCATTGGCCACATGACCAACAAGCCGTTGGTGGCTGCCTTGAGCGATTATCCATAGACTTCGAAACGGAAACTGGCCTTCCTTTTTTCATCGCATGCACAGGCTTGATTTCAGCTTCGTAAATTTTCTGCTCTACCATGGCCGCGTCATGCTTGAGGGAGATAAGCCGCTTGCACTCTGCCATGAGGGACTTCAGATTCATATCCGGGTCGTGGTCAAGCTTAGACAGCAGTCGGGTACGAATATCGGCATCTTGTGGGGACTGAAGTGCTCTGATGAATATAAGGCACTTGAATTGATCATCCGTCAGTAAGCGCAACTTGAAACGTTCGCACTCCCGGTTGACTGTGTCAGCCAGCATGCCATAATCATCCGTATCGTGCTTGACAATTTTTAGACACTCATAACGGATACTGAATAAGGAGGCAGTCTCCCCGAAAATTTCAGATAATTGCGCCACCACTTCGTCAAACTTGAGGTCTCTGGGTTGTTTCGGAAGAATATGGTCCACAAATCTGGAGTGTTCATTGGTTCCAAGCTTTCGAACCAGTACTCGCACTTTCCAGGAATCATCCTGACGGCTGAAGTCCGTCCGGAACATGTCTTCCCAGCGTTTGAACCATGCATCGAACGTGTGACCCACATTCGCGTCGTAATTGAATTCGGTAATTGTATTGGCAAGCATATCAATAGAGTTGGTCTGGAACTCACGAGGACCCGGATCTGGTGACTGCAGGTTGAGCCGCTGCGTCAAAGAGTCGATTAGCTTCCATTGAGTTTCCATTTGCAATTGTTGCTGCATCAACAATTTCTGGAATTGCTCCGGTGAAAGGTTCATTGCAAAATCCGATTTCTCCGTCGCCAATTTGTTATGTCTGCCAATTTCTACCGAATCTGGTCCGAAATCTCAAATCCCAAATCAGAAGGTCAAGCCTGGAATACCAAGTGTATTCGCGGAAAACTGAAACCAGGAAAATGGTGGCACTGTAGCGGAAAAAGTGGTCTCTATTTATAGGTCCATGCGTGACCTTGGGTTCTAGAATATTTCAAGGTGAGGATTGGACCAATGAGGTTGCGGACCTTGGCCTGTTCCTAAGGTTACCGGTAATTGAGAAGAGTCGAGAATGTTCAGGAAATGTCCGCAGATTGTGATTGGTCCGATTCCCATTTCCATTGACTAAATCGGAATTTTCAGGGAAAATTAGGTTTTCCCTGACACCTCCCCGGTTAAGCTTTCATCTGTTGCGTAGGAGGCCATCTTGGGATTGACTTGTAACCGTCTAGATGGAACTCTTTTGCGGTCCGTCCAGCGCCTCGGGAGCATGGGTTTCTGCGACGTTTCGTGCTGGCATGGGGTCTGCTGGTTTTCCTCGGCCTGTGGTGTTTTAGGCAGACTGAATTCCTCCAGGAGCAAATCAAACTGCAGTAATCGCTTTTGGTTTTGGTGCACTTGGCATCTCGTCGGTCTCAGCTGGTTTACGTGACGTGTCCACACTTGTGATCCAACTTGTACATCATACAGTACCCTTCCTCGCTTCCTCAGGATCGTTCCTGGAATCCAGCCATAGTGTTGTTTTCGATAATCTCGTACCAAGACCGACTCACCAGGAGCGAACATGCGTGGTATGGCTCCATGTCGTCTGTTGAACTGTCTCTCCATCACTTGGTTTCGTCTCGTGGGGATGGTTGCTGGACGAATAACATCGAATGGCATCCGTAATTTTCTGTTCATCAGGGCCTCCGCTGGTGAGACTCCGCCTGGCGATTGCGGGTTTGGAGTGGCGCGGTACATCAAAAGAAATCTTTCAATGAGGTCCGCGGTCGTTCCCTCCCCCTTCGACTTCTGAAGCGCCCGTTTGAAGGTATCCACAAATCTTTCAGCTTGTCCATTTGACTGTGGATGGAACGGCGGAGAGCGGACATGGTTGATTCCGTTGCGCTTGCAAAAAAGCTCGAAATGTGCCGACGTAAATTGGGTACCATTATCACTAACAATTGTCTCTGGTGCGCCAAATCGACTGAAAAGTTGGTTAAGCTTTGCAACGGTCGATGATGTTGTTGTGCTGTCCATGAGAAAAACTTCAGGCCATTTACTGAAAGCGTCGACAGCCACGAGGAACGATTGACCATTAACGGGTCCAGCATAATCGATATGGACACGCGACCAGGGTTTTTCCGGAATCGGCCAGCTTGAAAGTTCGGCTTTTATCGGCATCTTGGAAGCGGAAGCACACTGAAAACAGCTTTTAACCATTCCTTCCAGTTGTTGGTCGATGAACGGCCAGTAGACGTAACTGCGGGCGAGTGCTTTCATCCGATTAATACCTGGATGCCCCATGTGGAATTGTTGCAGCACTCTCGTCTGAAGCTTCTTCGGGATTACTACTCTTTCTGCGAACATGATACAATCGTTCACAATTGAAAGTGAGTTCTTCCGATGGAAAAATTGACGCAGTTCGTCGGAATCACATGCAGTTGGCCAGGTGCTGTGAAGAAACTTTGCGACTCTCTTCAGTGTTGGATCCTGAAGAGTTGCTTCTCGAACTTCGTCAGCTGTCACCGGCATGCTACGTAATGCATCAGCAACGATGAAGTTGACATCTGGCTCGGTTGATATCGCCGCTATGACGGTTTCTTCTGGTTCCTGATGCTGAGAACCGATGAGTCTGGACAATGCGTCTGCTTGGCCAAATGAAGTAGTTGACTGGTAGCGAATCTCGAAATCGTAGCCCAACAGAATGAGCGCCCAACGTTGAAGACGATTGGCTGTGTAGACTGGGATTCCCTTTTTGCTGCCGAAGATCGCGAGCAGAGGCTTGTGATCGGTGAGAAGTGTAAATCTGCGGCCGTACAGCATTTTGTGAAATTTCTTCACGGCGAAGATGATGGCCAATGCTTCCTTTTCAATCTGGCTATAGTTACGCTCCGCAGCAGTCAGTGATCTTGCGGCATGTGAAATGGCCTTTTGTCCATCAGGGAATACGTGGGAAATGACTGCACCAACTCCACTGTTTGATGCGTCGGCTGCTACGACTATGTCTAATGCCGGGTTAAAATGGGTTAGCAGTAGATTCGACTTCAGCATTGATTTGACTTTGTTGAAAACATTCTGACATTCTTGTGACCAATTCCAGGGTTGGTCTTTGACTAGAAGCTGATTCAACGGCGTCCGAAGACGATGCATCTCAGGGAGGAACGTGCTGTAATGACTGATGAGCCCCAAGAAGGACCTGAGGGTTGGAAGATCCTTCGGTGGAGGCATCTTCTGAATAGCTTCGATATTTTCTGGATCAGGACGTCGACCATCTTTGTCCAAAATGAACCCGAGGTATTTAATTGAAGGCATGAAGAAATTGCACTTTTCTTCTCGGATTCTGAGTCCATAATCCTGAATCCGACTGAATACTGCATTCATGGTTTCAAATAGATCCTCTTTCGTTCTGCCCATCAGGATGATATCATCCAAGTATGCCGCAGCTCCTGCAATTCCTGTCAGCATTGTATCCATCAACTGCTGAAAAATTGCTGGTGCGGATTTTACGCCAAAGGGCAGACGGTTGAACTGGAACAGCCCACGATGGGTGTTGATAGTCAACAGTTCCTTTGAATCATCTGCAACGTCCACTTGATGATATGCATCGGAGAGATCGAGTTTAGCAAAACAGGTACCACCATTTAGTTTTGCGAATATGTCCTCCGGTATCGGCAGGGGGTATTGATGATCCTCCAGCGATGTGTTTAGACCTGTTGAAAAATCGGCACAGATGCGCACTTTTCCGCTGGCTTTTTTGACAGCAACAATCGGCGCTGCCCATGGTGAATAGTTGACCGGCTGAATGACGCCAGATTTCTGCAATCTGTCCAATTCGTCGTTGACAGATTGGATCGCGGCATACGGCACTGGACGTTTCGCCTTGAAAACTGGCTTGACTCCTGGTTTCAGGGAAAGTGAGGCCTTAAACTTTGTGCAGTGACCAAGACCATCTTCGAATATCGTAGCGAATTTCTGTCTGAGCAATTGCATCATGCCCTGGACTGAAGATGTATGTGCCTTTTTCACTTGCAGCTGGTTACAAATTTTGTTCACGGGAACGTCAAACAATCCCAGCTTTTCGATCCAGTCAATTCCCAAGAGATTTAGGTTTGGGCGATCAGTTAGATAACAGATACCCCTCGTTTGAACACCGTTAAAGGAAATATCACAATGGATTTCGCCGGTCAGGTTTAATTCATCTCCTGATGCATTCCTTACCTCCTTGATAGATGAGATAACCAATGGTCTTCCAATATGGTTCCAGGTGCTTTTAGAAATCAGGGTTATATCTGATGCCGTATCGAACTGCAATCGCGTTGATTTACCATTGATGAGCAGAGT